TATTAAGCCATTGAAGTTGTCTCACAGCTCAATGATGCTTTGCTCTTTTTTTTTTCTGTATCCTTTTTTCTTTGTCTCATTTTGGGCACTTTTATTATGTTGTCTGTAAGTTCATTAATCTCTTTTACACTATCTGATCTTCCATTAATCCAATGAACAGTTGATCCTCTGTCTCCATGAGCTCAGCATCTACAGATTCAACCAACCATAGATTGAAAATTTTTAAGAAAATTGTGTCTGCACTGAATATGTGCAGAATTTTTCCTGCTATAATTACCTAAACAATACAGCTTAGCAATTACTTATATAGCATTTCATTATATTCAATATTATAAGTAATCTAGAGATTATTTAAAGAATATGATAGTATGTGCATAGGTTATATGCAAATATGGTGCTTTGTCATTTTATATAAAGGACTTGAGTATTAGTGAATTTTGTCATTCATGGTCCTAAAACAAACCATCCTGGGGATACTGAGGGACAACTGTGCTTTTTATTTCACAAACGGCTTTCTCCTCATTATGGAGAAATTATTTGCATGCCTAAGTTTTAAGTAGATGCCACATATTGTGAAATTTATCTTATTGAAAGCTGGACATTTGGGTATTTCTAAAAACATTCTTGAGTCTTATTCTGGGATTCGGTTAAGTTCCTTGAAAAGTATTTTTTTTTTGTCTTGCTTTTAAGATTTTTCAATAGGACTATAGACTCCTCAGTCTAAAGACTAATTATCTGTCAGTACTGAGGAAAGATCCTTCTGGGTACTCTACCTAATATCCCACCAATCATTAGGTTTTCCAATTGGGCTGCTGGCATCAGACCTTGTGTGAAAGGTGAGGGATATAATGCCTAATTTTGAGGAATGGTTCATTCCTTGACCAGGAATATCTTCCTCATTGCTAAGCACTCAGCTGAATACTTGACAGGGACCCTCTTTCTGGAGTTCTCTCTCTGTGTAGCTCTCTCCTCTCCAATACTTTCCTCTGCAGGCTCCAGCTGCTTTGGTCTTCTCAACCCAGGGAAACTGTCAGGCTTTACCTGCATTTACCTTCTTGGCGCTATGGCCTGGAAACTCTGACAGGTAATAATCTGGGGCAATTGCAGGGCTTCAGCTCTTTTGTCTCCTGGGGATTACTGACCTTTGTTTCCTACTACTTAGAAACTTGAAAATTACTGTTTGTAAGTTTTCTTATTTCATTATGGAGGATATATTCAATCCTTGTTGCTCTATATTAGCCAAGAAGAGAAGTACTGTATCTTCCTTTAAAATCACCTAATTGATATAGTAAGGGCTTAAGCTGAGGAATGAAAGTAGAAAGAGAAGTAGTCATGGACTGGGAAAAATGTAGGGACCATTCATACAATATTCATCCAAAACTCATTTATTGAGCGTGTACTATCTCAAGGCACTGAGAAAAGATGGTAGTTTGGATTGAAGATGGCAATGATGGAGATAGTGAGAAACCATTAGATATAGGACATGTGTTCAAGGTAAAGTCTATATTCTTTGCATATGTAGAGAGGGTGGGGTGTGAAAAAAGAGGAGTCAGGATAACAGTAAGGTTTAGAATGAAATAACAGGGAGAATAGCATTACTTGATTGAGATGTAGGTGACTGTGGAGGGTATGGTTGGAGGGGAAGATCAAGAGCTTGGTTTTGGACATACTGAGCCTGAGGAGCCTATTCATAATCCAAGTGGCTTTGCCAGGGAGGCAAACTAGAGTTCACAGGAGAGATTGAGCTGGTGTTCCAAGTTTGTAAGTCATCAGCATCTACTCGAGAGAAAAGATAAGTAAGTGATCTGGATCATTGAAGAACTGTGTTCAGGACACTCTAAGCTTTAGTGTTAGAAAAGAGAAGGAAGCTTCTTCAGAGAATGCTAAGATGTGGTTGATAAGTAGGATACCTAACTGGGAAAGTAGAGCTCATTATTTCAAGAAGGAGGGAATGAATAAACTGTCAGATGCTGCAGAGAAACAGAATGGAAATGCAAACGACTCTCAGGATGGATTGTGTTTCTGTTTGTGTCTTTGAATCTTGGATTCACCCTGAAGTTAGACACCCTGCCAGACTTACATCTCTAAAGGCAGCACCCACCCAACACGTGGCATACAATTGGTGCCTTCAGCGTGGGCATGGAGCATTTGAGTGAACAGTGAACTGGAACTTTCAGTCTTGGCTGTCTGACTCACATGTCCCTTTTCTCTCTGGCCTTATCTCTACCCATAGTCTGAATGAGTTGTCCTTAAAATGCTTCCATGCAGGGTTTGAGCACTCCTCACTCCAGACTCACTTTTTTATAATATCCTGTGCTGTTACTCAGCTTGTGGATGAAGAAAAACGAGGCCTATGAGTACAACATGACTGAAGTTGGGCTTTTTATGACATGGGTGTTATCTTCCTCTGATTTTAAAAGCCACATTCCTTGAGGATCCCACTCTTCAACTAGAATTTACTGCCCATCTCTGTTCTCTGTGACAACTGCATGGCTTGTTACCTTTCTCAGCAAGCCTGCTTTTGCCCTTATGTTTATTTGGTTTTCCCCTGTCCATCCCCAGAACAGCTATTGCAAAATTTCTGGCCTCCTCTGAAGGCTTCTGCCTGGTACTTCTGAAAGTAGAAACCCCTCCTATTTCACTTACAAAGCTGGGCTTTTATAGAAGTGAATCCTTCAATGGCCTCTCACTGTATCCCTACTAGCATCTAAAATATTGAACACCTGCTTCCCTCTGGTCTTAGGATTTTTAATAAGACTTTTTGCACTTCCTCTGGTACTTGAACCAATCCATTTTACTCCCACCTCTCACAGGCTCCACCCTCACTGGGGTTGATCAAAAGCACACACACTTTCATTTTCTGTCAAATCTGTCCTCAAAACATTTAAACTTGCTTTATTATCTCCTTGTTGTAAATTAGTAACAACAGCAACATAGAGAACCATTTTCAATCTCCCATCCTCCTCCAGATCCCACTCTATCTCTAGCCTTTCTCAGTTGAGTTTCTAGAAAGAATCAGTTACATGCTCTATCTCTTGTCCCTCACTCCCTACTCCATACTATGGGACCCTATGAAATCTGTCTTCTTTTACCACCACTCCTTGGTGCTGTTCTTGATAAGGTCACTGGTAAGTCTTAGTCATGCTCTCATCTCAGAGAGGAAGTATCAGGCCTCCCAAGCCGCTTTTATCTCCCTGTCATAGGGGTGGGGTGGGCATTGGCCCTGTAGAAGTCTTTTTTTCCTGAGACTCCTTTCCCTGGGAACTTTTTCCTTGTGTATCCCATATCTCTTGGACTGCCCTCCATTTCCTCCATGCAGTCAGCTCCTTGGGCTATCTGCTATTGTTGCAGCTCCTCAGAAAGCTTCTGTCAGCCCTCTTCTCTGGTTTCATGATATGGAGGAGTAGGCTTATCCCCTTGACAGCTTTAACTCCCTCATAAACCATGAGGGTGTCCATGGACCCCATTTAGTCCAGGGAGTGCTGAGCCAAACAGAGTCTCCTTTATCAGACCCAGGCAGCCACCGTGAATGCCAGAGACCAGGTCAAGGCCTTGTAAATAGAAGGCAATAGTGAGAGAGATGCTTGACACTTTGCAGGGCACAAACAACTCAGGAAAGAGGTTGCTTGGATGTGATGCAGTAAGTAAAGAGCTGTTCTTGACCTGTAGATTTCTGACTTGAGTGACTGGGAAGAGGGTAGGCCCCTTTATAACGTGGGTAAATTGGAAGAGAAACTGACTTATAGGTGAAGGTGTCAAGTTCAGTTTTACCTATGTTGGATTTGAGGGTTTGAGTTGTCTCAAAGGAGATGTCCAGCAAGCAGCTCCAGCAAGCAGCAGGAGATATGTGTTGGGAGCCTGGAAGGGACTCCTGGCCTGGAAACTGGATCAGGCACTTGAAGCCCTAGGACTAGACAAGATTTATTGAGGAGTTGAAAATCAATGGGCTGTCAGTTAGGCAAGGCAGAAGACAGCCAGGCAGCCAGGGGAAGGGATGTCCTATTTCTGGCAGAGAGAGCACAAGATCAAGGAAGAGGAATTTGTTTTGGTGACAGCAGCATAGAAGATGATGTACCCCAGAGATGGCCTGGACCTGTGTTCCAGCTCCTCTTGAACTGAAAGCTTGGACTTTAAAATCACCTTTTCCAGGAGGCCAGCCCTGAAACTGTTCAGTGTAAGTGGCCCTGCCTTTGTTTGCATTGCCTGGAACTTTCTGTCTCCACGGTCTACTGCCTCCAAGGTCCAAACAGGGACGTGCAGAGGCTGGTTTGTTTCCCTCAGGTGCCCTCATTAGCATGCTGCTGCCAGAGTCCCACAGAGAGCACCAGGCGAGCATCTCTGAGGCTGCTTGACGTGCCTACCATTGCCATGGCGACAGCTTCAGAAGCTGGAACAAGTAGCTGGGGGTGGGGAATGGTGGAGTCCTGGAACAGCTTTGGGGCTGTGAATCTAGTAGTAGCTGCCTTGGTAAATCTGGGGGATGTGATGACCATTCCTGTTCACATCTGGTGTGGCACACTGATGAGCCCCAGCATGGGACAGCTGTTCTGAGGATCTTATATTCCAGCCTCCCTGACTCTATGACAAGACATACTGTCTCTCTTCTGGATGCTTCCATCCTGGGCTCCTCCTTCTCAATTTATTTTGTGAATGCATCTTCCTGTTCTCAAGTCACCAGTGTCGGAGCAAACCTCGATACTCCTAAGTCCTGCTGTGGCAGTATGGAGCAGTGGGACTTTGCATTGCCTCAGTGCCAGGCTCCAAGTGTCAAGAAAAGGACTATACTCCTCCACATGATATGTCATTTAAAATGAAAACAGTGCTCAACTACAAAATATGGTTTTGTTTCCTTTGCCATAGTGACTTTATTAACACATGAATTATCAAAGCCAGCTGGGCCCTGGTTCTATTCTCACCCTGCTCACCTATAGCTCTCCTGCTTCATATGGGTACGAGAATCCTCTGTGACCTCCCTTGGTCATATCCCTGGCAGGTAAGAGCCCTGGTTGTACATGGAGAATGACTGAAAAATCCAATGGTGTGAAGAGTGCTACAGCCAATAACCATCATGAACCCCCTGCCATCAAGGCTAATGGCAAAGATGACTGCAGGACCAGCAGCAGGTGAGTCTTCTGAGGCTGGGTGATTTCACAGATGGTCCAGAGGTTGCTACTCCCCATCATGCCTGCACCATTGTTGTAGGGCAAGCTATCTTTGGCTTTAGGATTCCTTTTCAAGGGAACATAGGAGTTCCAGGCATGTCCTAGGAGGCAAGATAAGTCACACACCCAGAGAACCCTGGGTCAACTCTGTTGCTTTCTCTACAGGCCACAGTCTGCGGCTGATGATGATACCTCCTCTGAATTGCAGAGGCTGGCGGAGATGGACACCCCACGACGGGGAAGGGGTGGCTTCCGAAGGTGATTCCCCCCACCCTAACCTGCTGTTCCCCCTTCTGTCCATGGGGCTTGTCAGGGTGACTACAATGGCTCTCCTTCTCTTAACTCCTCTAAGCCTTCTATCAGACACTAGAGACCTGAGCAACACCAAAGCTCCTGTGAGACAAGATGGGAGAGGCCAGAGGAGGCCTCCCTTCACACTTCACAGTCTGAACTTTGCGGGGAGGTATCTCTCACTGCAGAGGGGCCTTGGTAGAGGGCCCTGAGGTCACCACCCCAGACCAGTAGGCTCTATAGGGAAATCAGGAAGCCTGAGGCAACCTCCATCCTGACTTGTCCTGACATTAACACAACCTCCATTTTGCATTGAAGACCTGTTTTTTGTTCTGCACAATCAAATGAGATGGCACCTTCTATTGGAAATCTTCCTAGGCACCCCTCCCCACAAGATGTATTTGAATCATGCCTGAGTCCCAGACCCTTCCCTCAATGCTGGCCTATGTCCCAGTTCTTAGCACACAGGAAATCATGGCCTGGTCTGTTTCCAGGTTTCCCTCTTCATCTCCCATGTCCCCCCGACTTTCCCCCTGCTGAAACAGTGAGCTCTCAGGTTCATGCTCTCTCTCCCTCACCTCTAGGATCGTCCGCCTGGTGGGGGTCATCAGAGATTGGGCCAACAGGAATTTCAGGGAGGAGGAAGCAAGGCCTGATTCATTCCTCGAGCGCTTCCGTGGGCCTGAACTCCAGACCGTGACGACACAGCAGGGGGATGGCAAAGGCGACAAAGACGGCGAGGGAAAGGGCACCAAGTACAACTGTCCAGCCTGTGGGGCTCAAAGGGCTCCCAAGCACACAATTGCAGAAATCAGTGTGGTTTCTAATGCCACTGCCAGGGGCAGACAAGGGACTATGTCAAGCTCTGTCATAACAGGGAAAGGGATGGACAGAAATGACCTGCTATGCTTTTAACTCCAGAACATTTCTGTTCTCCCTACCTACAGCCTCTCCAATAGCCAGTGGTCTATTTGCTATGGGAACATCTACTGTCTTTTTTCACCTTAGCTGACCTTCTATCAGATGTCCTCTTGCTGCTCATAAAGTGAATGTGGGCAGCGAGGGGGTTCAGCCAGGGGCATGCCACTTCCAGCCTCACTTCCAGCAGTTGGTAAATGCTGAGGAGGATGCAATCAGAGAGCGCTGCTGAGGGCAGGCCCACTCCAGCTCTATTCTGGGCAAGGAAGTATGTATTGGAAGAAACCATGCAGGAACCTGATGGGGAAGGCTCTGATGGCTGAGTAGGAGAGTGACGGGGTGGAGAAGGCAGAGATGGAGGGTCTACTGTTTGAGGAAGGAGTAGGCCACTGTGGATGTCTGGCCAAGTTAACATTCCCCACCTCTGGTCAGTGAAGGAAAAGGGCTCTTGCCAAAATATGGCACAGCATCTGGAAAAGTGATTTGGAGGCTAGAGGCTGGGGACCAAAAAGAAAGAGTAGAGTGGGCAAGAAGCATGTAGTTCTCACTTGCCTGGAGTTTGTCTCTTTTGCTGGGAGGGATATAGGAACAGTGGGATAAGCTTGCATTACCAACCTGTGGTTATCCCTCCCCAGACCCTGATGCTCTTCTCTACCCAAAACTCTGCCCCTTGATGTGCCTTCTGGGCAAGGGGCTACCAGAGAGGTTCAGAGCCAATGGGCCACTCTACCCTGAAAAATGGGGCCCCAAGCCAATTTACCCCTCATCCACACATTCCCTTAAGCAGTGATTCTTGGGGGTCCCTAAGCTTCCAGAACATGTAGTGCTGTCTCCTTGGGGGAGCTGGTCCTCAAGCCTGGCCTTTGTTTGTTTCCTTAGAAAGAAATTTGAACTATTTGTCTTGGACCCAGCTGGGGACTGGTATTACCGCTGGCTCTTTGTCATTGCCATGCCTGTCCTGTACAACTGGTGCCTGCTGGTGGCCAGGTGAGTAGGGAGGGGTCTGGAAGAGGGTAGCCAAAAGTAGAGCAATCCATAGGCCCTGGGATTGAGAGCACACAGGTCCCAGCCAGTCCCAGCTTAAGACAGTGTTCATACCAAGCCAACCTTCCTTCCAGATTCTCTGGCTGCCCAAAACACCTCTATCTACCTTGATAGCCCATGTTCCCTTCAGAGGGAGTCTTAAAGGTGTTAGCCCCACTTTCTTCTCTTCCTGGGACACCTGCAGCAGCCATATCTATTTCTTGTATCTACCACACTTGTAACTAATGTGATTCTTAGAAACTGGGATTTGGTGATACTACTCCCTCCTCAAAAAACATTTCAATTCCCTATTGCCCACAGGACAAAGTTCAAGCCCTAAGAATGGCCTTCAAAGCCTTTTGAATGTGGCCTGACAGCATTCCTCACTCCTTTCTGCTCCCACTTCAGTCATTCAGAAAGGGTTTGACTGAGCACTTATTGGGTGCCATGCTCTAGGCTCAATGATGGGGATAATGTGGAGAGCAAGACAGGCATGGTATCTCTCCCTTGGAACTCTTAGGCTACTGGAGGACAGAAATTGCCAACATGAAATAAAAAAAATGACCAAGATGATTCCAGGAACTGATGGCAGAAAGTTGCTAGAGATCGAACAGTCAGGGTGGGCCTCTCTGGGAAGGTGAGACTATAGCTGAGCCCTCATTAGTGGGAGGCAATCAGCTGTTTAGATACTATTCTTGGCAGAGAGAACATTGTGGGCAGAAGGAATAAGTGCAAAGCGTTAGGATGGCCCAGTGTGGTTCTGCAGGCTTTGTGAAATAGGGGCTGGAATTTGATTCTAAATGTTACCATTCCTAGTACACTCTTGGGATCACCATCCTGGACTCTATCCCCTAATTTTCCCTATCCCCAGGCCCTTTCCTAGGCCTGGCTCCATCCATAATTTACCCTACAGAGCTCCTGCAGCTTCCAACTTTTCTCCAATCATACTTCTTCTAGCCTAACCCTAGCTCACTTGGGCTTACCGATACTTGGCTGGCCAGTGTTCTGTGTTGGGTGCTCAGTAGGTGTATGTTGAAGTGATGAAGATGGAATCTATTCCACTGTGTGCTGTGATTTGCTCTTCCAATGACATATTCATTCATTCCACTGACACCATTCAACTGATACTTGAATTCAGGTGCCCCAGGCTAAGCATAGGACTGGCAATGATGATGGAGGAAGTCTCTGCCCTCCTGAAGCTCACAGTCTAATGTGTGAGGTAGGCAATTAATGGTCAGTAGTGATGCACACACAATGATGTCTACATAATGATAAGGATTGGGGTAGAAGTCACTTGCCAGTGTCTCCTTGGCACCAGGCTAACTGTAACTTATCAGTGCCCCTTGTAGCCCTCTCAAGCCTTGAACAAATAGACATTCAGCTTGGGGCTTCCAGGAGACCTCAACTGGCTTTGAGGGTGAAGCCAGCCTTGTTCTTTCACAGAGCCTGCTTCAGTGACCTACAGAGAGGTTACTTCCTGGTGTGGCTGGTGCTGGACTACTTCTCAGATATGGTTTACATTGCAGACCTTTTCATCCGATTACGCACAGGTGAGTAAGCATCTGGGAAGAACAGGTGGCAGTATGACACCTAAGTCCAAAGGCCTGAGTCCAAATTTTGAAGAAATCTACTAGACATGGTGTTGGACTCAAATGCTTGGCTGGAACCCTGGTTGGTGATTGATCAGGGGTGCTTTCTTGGGTCTTTCTGGACAGCCTACCATGTGAGCTATATCTCTCCTTGGGATGAAGGGATAAATGACTAGTTTGCTTATCATTATCCTATAAGGAGGAACAGATCTGAGGGAAGAGGTGACATACTGGCTTGTACGTCTGTTAGGTTTCCTAGAGCAGGGGCTGCTGGTCAAAGATACCAAGAAACTGCGAGACAACTACATCCACACCCTGCAATTCAAGCTGGATGTGGCTTCCATCATCCCCACAGACCTCATCTATTTTGCTGTGGGCATCCATAGTCCTGAGGTGCGCTTCAACCGCCTACTGCACTTTGCCCGTATGTTTGAGTTCTTTGATCGCACTGAGACTCGCACCAGCTACCCCAACATCTTTCGTATCAGCAACCTGGTGCTCTACATTTTGGTCATCATCCACTGGAATGCTTGCATCTACTATGCCATCTCCAAGTCCATTGGCTTTGGGGTTGACACCTGGGTCTACCCCAATATCACTGACCCTGAATATGGCTACCTGGCTAGGGAATACATCTACTGTCTTTACTGGTCTACACTGACCCTCACCACCATTGGGGAGACACCTCCCCCTGTAAAGGATGAGGAGTACTTATTTGTCATCTTTGACTTCCTGATTGGTGTCCTCATCTTCGCCACCATCGTGGGAAATGTGGGCTCCATGATCTCCAACATGAATGCCACCAGGGCAGAGTTCCAGGCCAAGATTGATGCTGTCAAACACTACATGCAGTTCCGCAAGGTCAGCAAGGAGATGGAAGCCAAGGTCATTAAGTGGTTTGACTACCTGTGGACCAATAAGAAGTCAGTGGATGAACGGGAAGTTCTCAAGAATCTGCCAGCTAAGCTCAGGGCTGAGATAGCCATCAATGTCCACCTTTCCACACTCAAGAAAGTGCGCATCTTCCAGGATTGTGAGGCTGGCCTGCTGGTAGAGCTGGTACTGAAGCTTCGCCCTCAGGTCTTCAGCCCCGGGGATTACATTTGCCGTAAAGGGGATATTGGCAAGGAGATGTACATCATCAAGGAGGGCAAGTTAGCGGTGGTGGCTGATGATGGTGTGACTCAGTATGCTCTACTATCTGCTGGGAGCTGCTTTGGAGAGATCAGTATCCTTAACATTAAGGGCAGCAAAATGGGCAATCGGCGCACGGCCAATATCCGCAGCCTGGGCTACTCAGATCTCTTCTGCTTGTCCAAGGATGATCTCATGGAAGCTGTGACTGAGTACCCTGATGCCAAGAAGGTTTTGGAGGAGAGAGGTCGGGAGATCCTGATGAAGGAGGGGCTGCTGGATGAGAATGAGGTGGCAGCCAGCATGGAGGTGGATGTGCAGGAAAAGCTAGAGCAATTGGAGACCAACATGGAGACCTTGTATACTCGCTTTGCCCGCCTGCTGGCTGAGTACACAGGGGCCCAGCAGAAGCTCAAGCAGCGCATCACAGTTCTGGAGACCAAGATGAAACAAAATGAGGAGGATTACCTGTCAGATGGCGTGACCAGCCCAGAGCCAGCTACTGCTGAGGAGCCATGAGGGTGCGAGCCCAATGGCCTTTGCAGCCTTCCTTGCCTTGACCCCAGGAGCTAGAAGAGCTGTCTAGATTTCCAGATTCATATGCATTACATCTCTTGCCCTCTGAATTCTCCCCAAAGCTTCTTCTAAGCTCATGATTTTGGTCTAAACATCCAGGGGTACCCCTCTGAGTGTAGCTAACAGTCAAGCTTGTGGACAGTAGAGACCATGTTGGCTGCATTTCCAGGAGCTTCAGCCTGCCCAAGTATGAGGAACGAAGAGAGCAGCAGCTGAACTGTCCTTTAGGAGTCTGTCCTGGGACTGGAGATGTGGACAATTATCTGCTCTGAAGAAGCCCATCCAAAGAATGGCATGCTCTCTGCTGCTCTCTTACCCCTCTCTAGCTCATTTGTATGTAGCCACTCTGCTCTGTTGATTAGCCTGTCTCTCTGCCAGCCAAGAGTGGCATCTCTGAAGTCCTCTCTGGACCAGGAGATGATGATGCTTCTGGTTTCTGGTCCATTCCAGGAAAGGGAGTGAGGAGTGAGGCAACTGACAATCATCCAGTGGGCAATGCCACCTGGAGAAGGAGGTGGCTGGCAGCTCTAGTCATCACCCTCTATGGAGAGCATTTCAAAAGAAGACTTGAAGGCTGGTGGTGGGAGGGATACTCTAGTTCATATGTGCTTTAGCAGCACTTAAAGTTAATAAATTCCTTTCAACTACTTTTGGTTATTGCTCAGCTCTTTTCTCCACATTCTTTTCCTGTTCTTCCCTTTTATTCACATTTCTTTGCTGCTGTCCAGACTCCTTCTGCCTGGCATGCCCACTGAAATCCTCCCCTGCCTGTAACCCCTACTTGTCTTTTAGGACTTAAGCTGGGTACCAGCTCTCTGGAGAACCCCCTTGCCTGTACCCACTCCCCTGCCAGCCTCTGTGATTGGTTTTAATGGATGTGGTTTCCCCTCCAGACTGTGGGCCCTTTGAGGGCAAGGCCAAGACAGTCTCCCTCACTGCTGCCTGCAGCCTCGATGATGTGCCTGGCATAGAGTAGAGGTTCTGAGATGTTTATTCACTGGAGTAGTGAGCAAACAGAGTGAGTGGGAATGAACGAATGAGCACAACTAACCCAATCTACTCTGCTTCCTTCTGCCAACACCTGTATTTTGAGAGAAACATGGTTTTATCTGGGGAGCTGGGGAGGATCTTCTGGGGGAGCAGGTATTTGATCTGGTATTACTAGATTTCTGCAGTCTGAGGGACAAATACTAATCAGTGGGCAAGAAGATCTAGCTGTGGACTCTCATGCTTTCATGTCCATACATAACATTCACTCCTTCATTTATTGTGATAAAATGCACATAACTCTAACCATCTTGATGACTTTTATATGTATAATTCAATAGTGTCAAGTAGATTCACATTGTCATGAAATCAATCTCCAAAACTCTTTCAACTTGCCAACTAAAACTTTGTACCCATTAAATAACTCCTTTCTCCTCCCTGTCCCAGCTCCTGGTATTCACCATTCTACTATCTGACTATTAATTTAATCACTCTAGTAACCTCATATATGTGCAATCATACAGTATTTGTCCTTGGTGTCTGGCCTATTTCATTTAGCATAAGGTCTTCAAGATTCATCTGTGTTGTAATGTATCTCAGAATTCCTTCTTTTTTTAAAAGTGAATATTATTTCACTGTACAAATATGTCATTTGTTTATTCATTCACATGTTGATGATCACTTGGGTTGTTTTCACCCTTTGGCTATTTGAATACTCTTGCTATGAACATGGGTGTACAAATATTTCTTTGAGACCTCATTTTTACTTTTTTTGTATATTAACCCAGAAGTGTAGTTACTGGATCATATGATAATTTTATTAATAATTTTTTGAGGGACTTCCATGCCATTTTCCACAGCGGCTGCACCATTTTACATTCCCATCAACAGCATACACTTTCTTCCAATTTCTCCATATCTTCACCAACATTTCTTATTTTCTTTTTCTGGACAGTAGTCATAATCTGTACGAGACTATGTCTTAATTGTGGATTTGAGTGGAATTTCTCTAATGAGTTGTGATTTTTGAGAGTATTTCACATGCCTGGTCATTTGTATGTTTTCTTTGAAGAAATGTCTATTCAAGTTCTTTGGTCATTTTTAATTGAGTTGTCAAGTTGTAGGAGTTCTTAATACGTTATAGATATTAACCTTTTATCAGATAAGATTTGAAAATATTCCCCCTTTCTATTGGCTGTCTTTCACTCTGTTGATTGTGTTCTTTGATGCATAGAAATTTCTAATTTTGTTGCAGCCCAATTTGTCTAGTTTTTTTCTTGTTTCTTGGGCTTTTGGTGTCACTACTCATTTTTATGTGAATTAATTCTTCTAGTCAGACTTTGAAATTTAACAGAATTTCTTGGCCTCTTTCCTAGCTTACAATAATAAGTCTTACCAGGGGAAACCTCACCTGGAAGGATCTGTAACATTACCTAGGTCCAGGTCCTGATACCTGAGGGTGACAACAACAGGAAAATGGTATTTATGATAGGACAGTGCTGTGTGATACCTTTTGGGTATTGGGATGGAAGAAAAGACTCCTAAGCCCCTCCACCTCAAGAGAGGCCCAGCCAATAGAAGAACTCCTTGGAGACCCAGCCAGCTTCTTGCTAAGGTACTTGTTGCTAGGGTTCACTAAGAAGTTCAGTTTTCACCAATTGTTGGAACCTGGACAAGATGCTATTTTTGCAGGAATAGGATGGCACTAGGGCCAGAAAATTGAAAACGTTTGCCTTAGTTTTAGCAAGAAACCTGTAATATTTCTCCCTGGAGCCTGGTTCACCTACAGCCCAGTCCCAATAGATGTTCACCTCCAGCCCACATCATGGAGTGGATATTGAATCTTGAATCTGGTCTTTGCTGGTATCCCTATAGCAAAGCAGGTGGCCCCTCTGGGTCACATGGGGACCCCACTAATTCAATACATGTACTATAGGGTTTGGCTCTCCTCCCCCCACAAGATTCCCTTTCCCCAGCATTCCTGGGCACAATCTCCCACAACATTTTGTTGTACCTTGAATGTCCGTTTTCTCTTAAGTTTGTGTGAGAGAGTCTGTGTGTTGTGTGTGTATGTGTGTGTGTGTGTGTGTGTGTGTGTGTGTGTGGTGTGCATGGTTGCATGCCTGAGTGTGGTGTTTGTTCATCTGTGTGAACATGATGTGGTTGTACATGTGAGCACCTGTACGTCAGCCTAGACAGTGTCTGTTTCTGACCAACCCCCACCCACCCCCTCCCTGTTGTTCTCTCTGCAAGAGCATGACTCTCTCCTGTCTGTGGCTGGCCGACGCCCCCGCCTCTCTCCTGTAACTGCTGTAATATAAGAAGTGAAGTACATTTTCCATTATGTGCTGTATTTATTCAGCACAGCCTGATGTTCTCTGCTCTTAATTAAAAAAATGTTTAAATTGGAATGTTTTTTTATTTTCCTCTGAAAATACCCACCAAAGGTAAATTGCCCTATTTGTATATGGTCATCAAATTGCTTTTCTCTGCATTTGTAACCTTCTGTACAAAACAAAAGCCCTGGTTCCCGCCCACCACACCCCCATCCCAGCATAGCTTGAGTCCAATCCTTAGCAATATTTATATATTCTTTGATCTGGAGCTTAAAGCTAGTCGGACCACTCCCTCCCTCCTTTGGAGGGCGACCAAGGCATGTATACCCCTCCCCCTTCCATATCCTGGAAACAAGTCCTTAAGGCACAAACAAGAAGGAACCCAGCCACCAGAGGGCGCATGGACCTCAGAAAAGTGGTAGGGTGGATTCTCCTTTGTGAACCGCCCACCACCCATCAAGCAGTGGACTGAGCAGGGCCTGTGGGGGCGGTTAGGTGGCTGTTCCGCAGGGCTTTGTGGAACTGTTGGACCAGTCTCTCTTCTACAATGCACCACTGTAGTTCCTTCGAATTTCCTCAGATTTTCCTGAGTTTGAAGGCCAAATGCCCAGTTGGACCCCGTGTATGCTAGGTACACAGACCCTTCTGGAGGATGAGGAAGCAGAAAATGCCAGAGTTGAATTTAAAGGGGACCTGAACATTATGACTGTGTCAGTACTTATTTTAACATATATTTCAAAAATAAATACTAGTCTTTCTGAAAACTCTTGATTGGTATGGATAGTATTGCTTAGCATTAAGCTTAAGAAAAAAAAGTCAACCTACTTAAGATTGATTTAAAGAAAATGATGATGTAAATAATTGTTCCAATGGTGCATGAAAGTAGCACCCAATGGTAGTGTGTTTCCAAATGTCTATTCCACACCACAGTGGTATTTCCAACTTAACATCAACCTAACTCATCTCTTAATTACTCCTCTCCCCAACATCTTCTTCATGTTGGTAATGGCACAAAATTCCTAGTTACTCAAGCCAAAATCACAGAAGCCTCTTCCCCTTATCTGTCATATCCAATCAGTGAGAAAATATCATATACTTAACTTTCAAAGTAGGGTCAGAATCCATGGATGAGACACCACCGCCACTGCCCCTGCAGTGGCCCAGGCCACCACTGACTCTTTCCTTGAACAGCTACAGAGTGATAGCCTGGCTCCGGTCTTTGTTCTCCTTTGCAAATCATTCTCCACTTGGCCACCAGAGTGTTGAAAACACAAGAATCATATTCCATCCCTCCTCAGCTTAAAAACTTCTGGTGTTTTTCTATTGTTCTTATGCTAAAATTCAAATTCCTGCCTGTGGTCCCCAGGTCTTGCTCAATGGCAATGGCTTTTCCCTTCACCATGCTTTTCTCCAGCTCCCTTTGATTTCTTGCATACACAGATTTTTCTCTTGTCTTGGCAGCCTCACAGTTGTTGTCCTCTCTATCTTGCTGTGTCTGGCTCCTGGTCTTCAGAACATCCTCTTCATGATATGCTATCTCATCTCCCATTTTGATTCCCCTCATAAGTACTGATCACCCTCCCTAGTCTCAAAGAAAACCTTAGGCTGCATCCCAACCTCACATCACTGCTTGTTCTCATGGCCCTGGGTATGTTGCAGCTGTTTGTGATTCTTTGGCATTCCATAACCCACTAGGAGCCAGCCTACAAGAAACTCAGCTTATTCCTAGTTCTTTCCCCAAAGCTCTAGTCTGCAACATGCCTCTCATCCTTCAAATTCACCTCTAA